CTAGTTCCCTGACCAGGGATTGAACCTGTGCCCCCTGCATTAGGAGCATGGAATCTTAGCCACTAGACCAGCGAGGAAGCCCCTATGATCTTTTTTGGATTGGTCAGTTGGTTCAGGGATCATCAGACTGGTCCATCCATTATAAAGTTCTCCATCCCAGCTTTCTACCTACTGGTTTTACCTACTACCTGTTGGTGATACTGCCTAATGGTGATATATGTTATTTGATTAAGGGCTACAAAATTGTGATATTTTAATTCTGTTGTCTCTTCTGCCTTTGATTAACTGGAATTATCTTATAAACAAGAAACTTCCTTTATCAACTCTATGGTACCTTGAAGTACAACTTATATGGAAAATGCAGGATTGATTCTTTCCTTTTATTGACCATGAACATGGTATTTTGGAATTAATTTATTTTCTAGCATCTTCTAGAGGTGACCAATGAATTATTTTAAGTATTATTGTGAACTTGTGCCTTTTTAAAACGTATTTGATGAATTTCAATACATTAGAGTCACTCTCCCTTTTGAGTTCAAACTGATCCATATTTGCCCTTTAGATTGACTCCTTGGTCATGTAAACATGACTCTAGACACTTCCCTGGTTGTTCAGTGGTTGGGACTCCAAACTTCCTTTGCAGGGGTCATGAGTTTGACCCTTTGTCAGGGAACTATGATCCCACATGCCATATGACATGGCCAAAAATTTTTTAATTAATTTTAAAAACTTAAAAAGCAAACCAAAAAAGTGACTCTAGTAGTCTTAAACAGCTTCCTTGCTTCCTGGTATGACAAGAAGTTCCAACCTTAACTCTAAATTTTTAGTCCAGACCTTGAATCAGCCATTTCTCCAAGGAGTAATTGTTCCTTTCAATGGAACATGGTATTTAAAAGCTATAATTTGGACACTCAGAGTGAGCATTGCTACTGGGCTGTTCATTTTTTCTAGGCCATCTTGATGGATAGAGCTAGAAAATTTTAAAGAGAAAAATATATCATGGATTTATACTAATTTGCATTCACTTTTAAGATTACAGAGCTTTTATTTAATTTCTTTTATTTTAACCTGAAAATCAAAGGACTTAACAACATTCACTACTTATTTGCTTTATCTTTAAATACATAGATAATAGTTTCAGAGTAAAAATATCAATATTATCAACAATGTAATTACTAAATACTGTTTAAGATTTTTATGCAGTCCTTTCTGTTCTCAGAATGCCTTCTACTAGGGATGAAAAAGTAAATTGTGGTTTAAAGCCATTTGAAATAATTTCTTTTTGTGTAGTTCAGCCAACAACTCAATATATAACTAAGTCCATTTTTTTTCCATTTTGATTCTATTTTTAGAGATTTAAACTTCATCTTGCTTGCTCTAATGAAGCAAGCTACCATGTTACATGCCACCTCACAGCACATAACAGACGCAGAAGATATTAAGAAGAGGTGGCAAGAATACACAGAAGAACTACACAAAAAAGATCTTCATGACCCAGATAACCATGATGGCATGATCACTCACCTAGAGCCAGATATCTTGGAGTTCGAAGTCAAGCGGGCCTTAGGAAGCATCACTACAAACAAAGCTAGTGGAGGTGATGGAATTCCAGCTGAGCTACTTCAAATGCTAAAAGATAATGCTGTTAAAGTGCTGCACTACATATGCCAGCAAATTTGGAAAACTCAGCAGTGTCCACAGGACTGGAAAAGGTCAGATTTTACTCCAATCCCAAAGAATGATCAAACTACTGCATATTTAAACTCATTTCACATGCTAGCAAAGTAATGCTCAAAACTCTCCAAGCTAGGCTTCAAAAGTACATGAACCGAGAACTTCCAGATGTACAAGTTGCATTTAGAAAGATAGAGGAACCAGAGATCAAATTGCCAACATCCACTGGATCACAGAAAAAGCAAGAGAATTCCAGAAAAACATCTACTTCTGCTTCATTGACTACACTAAAGCATTTGATTGTGTGGATAACAACAAGCTGGAAAATGCTTAAAGAGATGGGAATAATGGAGGGACCACCTTACCTGCTTCCTGCAAAACCTGTATGCAGGTCAAGAAGCAACAGTTAGAACTGGACATGGAACAACAGACTGGTTCAAAATTGGGAAAGGAGTACACCAAAGCTGTATATTGTCACCCTGCTTATTTAACATATGCAGAGTATATCATGCAAAATGCTGAGCTGGATGAAGCACAAGCTGGAATCAAGATTGCTGGGAGAAATATCAATAACCTTAGAAATGCAGATGACACCACCCTCCTGGCAGAAAGTGAAGAGGAACTAAAGAGCCTCTTGATGAAAGTGAAAGAGAAGAGTGAAAAAGCTGGCTTAAAATTCAACATTCAGAAAACTAAGATCATGGCATCCGATCCCATCACTTCATGGCAAATAGATGGGGAAATAGTGACAGACTTTATTTTCTTGGGCTCCAAAATCATTGCAGGTGGTGACTGCAGCCACGAAATTAAAAGATGCTTGCTTCTTGGAAGCAAACCTAGACAGCATATTAAAAAGCAGAGACATTACTTTGTGGACAAAGGTCCATTGAGTCAAAGCTATGGTCATATAAGGATGTGAGAATTGGACCATAAAGAAAGCTGAGCGCCAAAGAATTGATGCTTTTGAACTGTAGCATTGGAGAAGACTCTTGAGAGTCCCCAGGACTGCAAGGAGATCAAACCAGTCAATCCTCAAGGAAATCAGTCCTGAATATTCATTGGAAGGACTGATGCTGAAGCTGAAGGTCTAATACTTTGGCTTTCTGATGCAAAGAGCTGACTCATTAGAAAAGACCCTAATGCTGGGAAAGATTGAAGACAGGAGAAGAGCATGACAGAGGATGAGATGGTTGATGGCATCACTGACTCAATGGACATGAGTTTGAGCAAGCTCCAGGAGATGATTAAGGACAGGGAAGCCTGGCTTGCTGCAGTCCAGGGAGTTGCAAAGAGTCGGACATGACTGAGAGACTGAACAATAATAATGGATCAACCCATGTGGTAAGGGACTGAGCACCACCTCTGGTCAACAGCCACAAAAGGAGTGCAGTCCTCAGAGCAACAATTCAGTGAGGAACTAAACCCTGCAACAACCACATGAGTAAGCTTGTAAGTGATCCTCCCCAAACTGAGCCTTGAGATAGCTGCAGCCCTGGCCAGCACCTTGACTGCAGCCTTGTAAGAGACCCTGAGCCAGAGGACCCAGCAAACCTGCACCTGAAATCTTAACCCACAGAATCTGAGATACTAAATGTGTTGTTTTAAGCTATAAAGTTTTGGAATAATTTCTCTTGTAGCATTAGTTAATGAGCACACCTCCATAGCGACTGTGTTATGTATACTCTTAGCTTTTAGATGAGTAGGGAAAGTAGAGTGTTGCTTAATCAATAAATGATGAGGTCAGTTGATCAATGGTCTTGAGTAGCATTGGCGGGGGGCGGGGGGGCCCTCTGGCTTTGCTCTCTTCTCCACTTCATTAGTGATTTGGTGGCTTATCCTACACAAGGTGGAGAAAAATCCAGAATCAGAGGGCCCTCAACCAACTGAAACAATGACCAAATTGTTTTGATCCTTGCATGAGCTAAATTCAACTCAACAAAGACTCATTAAGTTTGGTAACAATAGTTTGTGGAGCAGTACAGGGAGCTGTAGAGAAGGCCACAGGCCAGAAGGCCCTGTACCCCAACCGCTATGAAAAGGACTTCAGAGAGCATCCCCAGCCCCAGGCCAAAGATGGGATTAAATCAGGGCTACCAAATGGCACAGAAGTACAAGAGAGAGGCCAGGAGTGATGTCTATCAATCCCCTTAAAAAGGAAACAATTGCAAGGGATTGAAGGACATTATCAATTGTTGCTCTTTTGTCCTAAGTCAAAAAAGTTTTCTTTAGAAATGCAGTGACTCAATGAGTCAGCACTTGCTTTTAAGAAGATCCCCAAAGGATCTGTATCTCTACTGAAGTTTGAGAAACTCTGGCCTATGTAACTCAGTATAATTTGGAAATTTTTATCTCACTTTTTAAAATTGAAATATAGTTGATTTACAATGTGTTCATTTCTTCTGTACAGCAAAGTGACTCACTTATACACATATATACATTCTTTTTATATCCTTTTCTATTATGGTTTATCCCAAGATACTGAATATAGTTTCCTGTGCAATACAGTAGGACCTTGTTGCTTATCCATTCTACATGTAATAGTTTGCATCTACTATTTCATATATAAATTTTATTTTAGATTCCACATATAAGTGATATCATATGGTATTAGTCTTTCTCTAGCTATGGAATTTTATTTTTTTATTCTTTATTTATTTATATTTTGGCCAAGCCGTATGCTTGTGGAATCTTAGCTCCCTAACCAGAGACTGAAACCAGGCCATGGCCGTGAAAAGCTGGGATCCACGAGGCTACCAGGGAACTCTCTGTAATTTTAATTTTTTACTGTGAGCACATATTCATGTATTACCTGTGTAATTAGAAGATGATTTAAAGAGACTGGATTATGGGACTCTCCTGGTGGTCCAGTGGTTAAGAATCCACCTGCCAATGCAGATACACAAGTTTAATGGCTGGTCCAGGAAGATCCCACATGCCACATGCTGCAGAGCAACTAAGCCCGTGCACCACACAACTACTGAGCCCTTGGGCTGCACTACTGAAGCCCGAGCACCTAGAGCCCATGCTCTGCAACAAGAGAAGCCACTGCAGTGAGAAGCCCACTCACTGCAACTCAAGAGTAGCCCCCTACTCATAACTAAAGAAAGCCCGCATGCAGCCACGAAGACCCAGCACAGCCAAAATAAATACACTCTTCGTTGACGCAACTTAGCAGCAGCAGCATGGACTTAATATTAAATAGAAATAAATAAATAAAGACACTAGATTGTAAGGAAGGTGAAAATTCTGAGGAAAGACTGACCCCATCCACCCCGAGTCTGCACTGGGTGGGAAGGAAGGAGTCTACTGAGGCCAGAAGGTGAGGGTCACATGTGGGGAACTGAGGTGCTTGTCTCTTGAGGAGAGATTCTTGAAAGTGAAGACAGGAGGGAGACAGGGGTAGGGTCCTGAACAAGCCCTCCAGATTGAAAGTTCTGTTTACATTCACTGCAGAAGCCTCGCCTGAAGCAGATATCTGACCAGGGTAGATCCTCAGAACTGTGGACTTGAATAAAGAAAATGTTAAAGGATCTTAAATCATAGAGATAATAATAGCTGAATTTCTGCAAACATGTGCCCATAATTCTAAAGACATTGTCCTGACAGCAAGTAGGGAAAAAAAGCATTCTTTCAGTAATTACCAGTTTCTCTCTTTTCTGATTCCTTTGGACAGGCCTCCTGCAAGAAGCTCATTTTCAGCTGCATGTGATAACGAAAGGATTTTTCTTTCTTCTTATGTTAAATACAAGTAAATTGATTAAATAGCAAACAGCGTCTGATTGCTAGGAAGTCTGCGATTCAGACAGTATGGCAACGGCACCTGGGGATGGGGAAGGGGGACACAACAGTGGAAGAAGCCAGGACAGCCTGGCTGTGCCAAGGACACTCAAGGGCTGATGGGACTGAGCTCTGGAGGAGAGAGAATTTGACATCACCTGGTCTAGCCTCACAGTTTATGGATCCAGGGAGGAAAGAGATGCCAGAAGGACCCAAAACTAGAACACAGGGCTCCTTCCCTTCTTCATATTTCTCAACACCCCCCACCCCCATTTTCTCTCTCCACCACCACCCTTCTGGCTGCTTCCCCCACCGCCTCCCTTCTGTCTCTGAGTACCCTTTTCAGCATGTATATTTTACTTCAATAAAAAGCTGTGGGGTTGAGGGGGTATTTTGGTTTTGTTGCTGTTTTTATAGAAACAGCATTGAGTAAGTAAAAGAAAGATATTCCGTGTAAGTTTTCAAAACACAGGCAGGAAGATGAGAATTTGCTCTGAAAAATCTGAGGTAAGCCACAATAATTAGGAAGGCAAATAAGTGAGAGGGATCTATTCAAAGAAAACTTCCAATAGGAGCTGGGCTTTAAGCTAGGCCTTAAAGAAAACAGCTTGAGTGGGTGCAGATAAGCAATGAATTGGAGCACAGCCCTCTAGCCATTGGCCTTATCCTCACAGGCAGCACCACTGACCGCAGGGAGGGATGGGGAGCTGGATAAAGTGTGTATGTGCCCACTTCCATCCCATTCCAGCAGTTCTTTCCCTCTGAGAGGACTGAATACACAAAAGGACTGTGGCCAGACCATATATGACGATAGAACTCTCTGCAGTAACCAGCCTGGAAAGCCAGACCACTTCTGCAGCAATCATCCCAGAATCATCAGGTCTTGGTTTTAAAGCGTGCCACCTTCTTCCCAATCTACAACCACCTCTTCCCTCTTTTCCAATTCAGGACCAGCCAGAGAAAGCCAAATGTGCTCCCCAACAAATCATATAAATGCCTCTCTTCTAGTTTGCCAACCTCCAGTGTCCCAGGCAAACAACCTCCAATCATAGCACTTCTGAAGCCTTCCCTTTCTTTCATTCACCATAATGTTTTCCTAGTTCTTGCCTGTCTTGAATTCCCTTCCTGCCAAATGCAAATGATGGTAGCTGCTTTTGCAAACTCAGAATGAATTCTCACTTGGATGACCTTGGTTTACCTCCATTATCTCTAACAGTGAGTCTGGACACAAACTCAAAGTATTCATGAAAGTTGACACCCAAATCAAAGGTAACAAAAGTGAACTTTCAATGCCATAGATCAGTTTTGTTTATTTCTGTATTTTTTATAGGAATAGAATCACATATTCTATTCTGTATATACTGACTTCTTTTTCTCAGTATCATGTCTGTGGTATACCCATGCTGTGTGTAGCAATATTGTCATTCATACTCATTGTTAAAAGACACTTGCTCCTTGGAAGAAAAGCTATGACAAACCTAGACAGTATATTAAAAAGCAGATACATTACTTTGTTGACAAAGGTCCATATCATCAAAGCTATGGTTTTTCCAGTAGCCATGTATGGATGTGAGAGTTGGACGATAAAGAAGGCTGAGCATCGAAGAATTGATGTTTTTGAACTGTGGTGTTGCAGAATACTCTTGAGAGTCCCTTGGACTGCAAGGAGATCAAACTGGTCAATCCTAAAGGAAATCAACCCTGAATATTCATTGGAAGGACTGACGGTGAAGCTGAAGCTCCAGTATTTTGGCCACCTGATACGAAGAACTGACTCATTAGAAAAGACCCTGATGCTCGGAAAGACTGAAGGCAGGAGGAGAAGGGGACAACAGAGGATAAGATGGTTGAGTGGCATCACCGACTCAATGGATATGAGTTTGAGCAAGCTCCAGGAGATCGTGAAGGACAGGGGAGCCTGGCATACAGCAGTCCATAGGGTCGCAGAGTCTTGTCCAACTCTGCGACTGAGCAACAATATTCTGCTCTATGACTTTACCCCAACTTATATACACATTCTATTATGGATAGGTCTTGTGGATTGGTTCCAGTTTGAGGCGATTATGAACAGTGCAGTTAGAAAAATTCTTGCGCATATCTTGGTAGACATGAGCTCTTGTTTCTGTCATGGATACACCCAAGGTAGAATTGCTGGGTCATAAGTTATACATGTGTTTAGCTTTAGTAGATACGGCCAATTTTCCAACAGGGTTTTACTAATGTACATTCCTCCTAAAGTTTAAGAGTTTTAATTGCTCTGTATTTCCATCAACAGGTGATCTTTTTTAAATGCTGGTCTTCGTTCCTTGGCACAGGCTTTCTCCAGCTGTTGTGAGCACGGGCTCACTGGGGTGCGCGGGCTTATCTTGGTAGCTTCTCTTGTGGAGCACAGGTTCTAAGTGCATGGACTGTTGTGCACACGGGCTGAGCTGCTCTGCAGCATGTGGGATCTTCCTGGACTAGGGGATGGAACCCATGTGCCCTGCATTGGCAGGTGGATTCTTAACCACTGGACTACCAGGGAGGTCCTCATCAACACTTGATCTTGTCAGACACTTTCATTTTAGCCTTTCTGGTAGCTGTCTATAAATTTATACTTAATATTTTTCTTGGTCCCTAGAGGCTCTAAGTTTTACTGCTTTCCTGGATTTCATTGTTATAACTGTTAATAGTACATGACTAATCAAAACAACACTTTTCTCTCCCTCCACCCCACTCCTGCTCACGCTTTTAAGCCACTCACAATCAAATGGAAGACAGTAAGTAATAGAAGAGGGCACTGAAGGTAGGCTTTTTGCTTTATTACTGTGTGTCTCCAAGGCCTATCCTCATACTCTGCACTCAGTAGGAACAAAATAAATATTTGTTGTAAATACATGAAAAAAAAAATGACACGAAAGCCTATTTGTTTCCACCATACTTTGTGAGTCACTCCTGACCTCTGGAGGGTATAAGTGACTTACTCAATTTAGGCCTTCAACCTGGCACATGGGAATCCTTTAACAACATCTATTAAACCAAACTGGCCTCCAGAGGACAGGCTTGTGCCTGCTGCCTCACCTCATGCAGCCTCAGGCCATTAAGCGTGGACACACATGATTATATTCATACTGTCACAAACCCTTGAGACTATATTAAATTATATATTGAATATTATACTATTACTGCAGGTGGCAGTCCTTGGAACGCCAGGAAGAGATGTGTGAAATCTCACTTGAAATGGAGCCCCAAGTTCTAGACACCTGATTAGCTAAGGGTCAGGGGCATGGGGAACATCCAATTCAGGCTCAGGGACCAGTTTTCCCTTGTATCGTCCCCTCTGATCCTTCCTCCCTCTCAGTCTTGCAGATCAGCTGTAAATTAGGTCACAATTATATCCCCTTCATAGGGTCATTGTGAGGACTAAACAAGTTAATACATGCAAGGCACTTTGCCTAGCACCTGGCATGCAACAAAGTATGGGGTAAGTGGTAGACCTTTTTATTTTTGCTGTTATTAACAGCAGCAGCAGCAGGAGTGAGGAATGCTGAGCGACCATGCCTTGCAGCAAATGTGAACTTCATGACCCTGGGCTGTAGGGAAAAGGGCAGAAAGGGGAGCACAAGGGAGCATGTGCTTTTCACCTATAATAAGTTATCACAGCATAGATTAGCCCAGGCATCCTGAACACTACCGTAGTGCACTGGTAGAAAGAAAGGGACCTTAAGGCCTGAATGACTCCATCCCAAGGAGACGCCTATAAGATCAGAAGACATGCTGTGGAGTTTGAATCTGGCCAAGGGTGGGAATTTCTGCCAGGTGGAAGGGCTCTGTGAAAGCCTAAAGGAGACCCCTAATGCAATGGGGCAGACCCCTAATGCAATGGGGCAAATTGCCATTGGACACACCCATTGGCAATTGTCCCCACCTCTCTGGGACAGGAGCAGTAGCCAAACACCTTCAAGGAGCTTGTCAATGAAGGAAAGTCCTCTGGTTTTCTCTTAAGACAGTGAACCAGTGCTGCTCATACTCTGAACTGGTTCAAAAGAGATGTCACCCACTGAGGCTAAAAAGATAAGTGGAGAATGCCTTGGGGAAAAAAATTTTTAAAAAGAGGGCCTTGGCTACAAAATCCTCCTGTCCTAAGTCTTTCCCTTGACTTTCTGAACTCTTTATTTTCTGACTTACAAAAAGAACTTGTACAAAAAATGAGGGATCAGGCAGGGATGAACAAGACAGGAGTCATAATTATTTTTTAAAAGTATTTTTGGCCTTACCCTATGGCATGTAGGGGCTTCCCTGGTGACTCAGTTGGTAAAGAATCCACCTGCAAGGGTGAAACAGATCACCAGCCCAGGCTGGATGCATGAGACAAGTGCTCAGGCCTGGTGCACTGGGAAGACCCAGAGGAATTGGGTGGAGAGGGAGGTGGGAGCAGGGATCGGAATGGGGAATACATGTAAATCCATGGCTGATTCATGTCAATGTATGACAAAAACCACTACAATACTGTAAAGTAATTAGCCTCCAACTAATAAAAATAAATGAAAAAAAAAAAAAAAGAATCCACCTGCAATGCAGGAGACCCAGGATTGATCCCTGGGTGGAGACGATCCCCTGGAGAAGGAAATGGCAACCCACTCCAGTATTCTTGCCTGGAGAATCCCAGGGAGAGAGGAGCCTGACAGGATACAGTTCATGGGGTTGCAGAGAGTCAGACATGACTTGGTGACTAAACCACCACCATGACTACAGCATGTTCCCCGAGCACAGTTTGAATTCATGCTCCCTGCAACGGAAGCATGGAGTTTTAACTACTGGCCCCCCAGGGAAGTCCTGAGTCCAAAATTATTGAAGCTGGGTAATGGGCATATGGCCTTCCCAGGTGGCACTAGTAGTAAAGAACCTGCCTTTCAATGAAGGAGACAATTTAGATCCCTGGGTTGGGAAGATCCCCTGGAGGAGGAGCAATCCATTCCAGTATTCTTGCCTGGGAGAATCCCATGGACAGAGGAGCCTGGCAGGCTACAGTCCATGGGGTCACAAGAGTTGGACATGACTGAAGCGACAGTACATAGCACAACAGGCATATGGAGGGGAGAAGTAATTATTCTATTTTCTATACTTCTGTGTCCTTAAAAGTTTTCCATAGTAAAAAAATTTCATAAAAGAAACTATGAATAACCCAAGGCCTGAAAAAGTAAAGGGCATACTGCTCTCTGACTAGAAATTTCCCTGAATCAACTAAATCTGAGCGTCCAACCAAGGAAACAAAGTGAGAATGTGGTATTAGTCTGCCTTCAGTGGGTCATCAAGCAAAGTTGGCAGGTGTTTCCCAGGGAAAGAGAAGCAGTGGTGACTCTTGGGCTTTGAAGGAAATGCTTCAACAGGAGAGAGAAAAGATGGAGAGAGATTTATATGCAGATACCTACTGCTAAGTCTGCCCTAAGTCCTTAGGTAAGGGCCCTCTGACCTCACCCCTGCTTTTACCCTAAGGTGAAGGGTACTTTCCCATCTCCAACTATAGGTGACTAGACCCCTGTCTGGGGGTAGAGGTCCTTCCTCACTCCCTTCACATCATCCAGGCCATGGTGACCTGCCTGGGTTTCCCTCCTACATGCAACCTCCTGCAGCTGAAACCACACTCCAAACCCAGGACTCGAGATCTGATGCATCTCATCAACTACCCCAAGCCCTTTCCTTGCCAACAGCCAATCCCAATCCTGCCTGAAGTTGGCACTTTAGTGACAGCAGCCAAAATAGGAATGCTGCACAATGCAGGCTAAGTCAGGGCTTCTGGGCAGCATAACTTGAAAAGTGCCAGGGCAGTCCCTGAATGTTTCCTACACAACTTATCCACGGATCTCTCCAAAACAGGTGGTCACTCTGTTCGAAATCCTACAATTTAAGAAGCATTCTTTGGGTTTACAAATGCTTTTTTCCAAAGCTATCTTGGGAGGGTAACACATTGAAACCAATACCTGTTCATGAATTGTTCACTGACCTAAGTACCTAGGAAGAAGGAGCCCAGAAGCCTGGATAAGAGTAAAGGTGACACAGAGTGGTTGCAGACAGCCTCACTAGGGACTATTCCTGGCTTCAAGGTACAGGTGGTTCGGTCTGGAGAGAGGGCTGAAGGTAAGTTCAGAGGTAGAGGTAGAAGCCATTAGGTTGCTGAAGTTGAGGGCAGTGCAAAGAAAGACTGTAGTAGCCAAAGCAGGGTGCAGGACTCTGCAGACCGACAGCCTGGGGGTGGGCCACAGTGACCCCCTAGCTCTTATGTCTCCCTAGAGCTCTAGTCCCTGGCCCTTGCAGGGCCCAGAAATGAAGGTAACTCCTGAGGCTCCTGTGCCTGGCCCTTGTCCAGCAATGGCTGCCTGGAAAGCACTCACAAGGATATCCTTTAATACACCTGGCTGCTGAGGGGGGCACCCTGGCCCCCACCCTGCACAGATGCCCCAGCAGACATGTCTCCCTCCTCACTCCCCAACAATCCCCAATGCATGGAACAAAGTAAGGGGCAAATATGAAAAGGGCATAGGCACTAGGGGCTGGGTTGGCTCCTAAATGTGTGGCCAAGTGCTCCAGCCCCTCCACATTTGAATACTGACAAAACCAACATGCATTGAAACCTCAGTAAGTAAAATGCCAGGAACCATTCTACGGTTTATATAGATAAACTCATTTAATCCTCACAATACTAGGACATGTATATCTATATAATTTTACTATTCATCCCAATTATACAGGTGAGAAAACTGAGGCATAGAGAGATTAACACCTTGCCCAAGAGCACAGAGTTAGTAAGAGACAGAACAGGACACGGGCCTAACTTACCCTACACTGCAACAGTGCATACTTACCCACTGGGCACTCTGCCTCTCATGCCCTCATCTCTACCTGGCTAGGCAGGGAAAGGTGAGAGGAGCATTTAGCGGCCACCTGCTTTGGACCAGGCACTTGACAAAGATCTGTGTGCTCCAATCTCAGGAGAATTCAGTGAAGGATGAGATGCAATTCTCATTGTCCACATGGGTAAGCAAGATCAGAGAAGTCTGATTATCTGTCAAGGCCACACAGCCCACAAAGAGGTAGAGCTGAAATCCTGCAGGTTCTCCCTCTCCAACCCCCATAGGGAGCTGAAGAGAACAGAGACTAGGATGAGGAGGCTGGAGAGGGGCTCTTTAGGTGCTCCTCAGGTCTAGCACCTGATCAGGCTTCCCAGGGGTCCATGGGAATCTCTGGATCTCCTCCCATCCTTGTGTGGTAGGGAGGGGAATCAGAGAGACAGGGGACTAAGTCCTTAAAGATGGGCCTCCCTGTTGCTCTGCAGGGGGCTACTGGGCCACTGGGGGCTAGAGCAATGTCCCCTACCCCATCTATTGGTTGCAGGGACCAGGCAGGATGGGGAAGGTTTCCGACCCACTGTGGTCCCCAGTGGCACCTCCTGATTCTTGCATTTGGGTAAAGAGGGATAAGGCCTAGACGGGATTAAGGGCACAGGGGTTAAGGGCAACAACCAGATGGCCAGCTGGGTGAGGACTGGGGCACCAGGAGCAGCCCAGGGCCCGGTAAGCCAAGGATGGTGGGAGAGCCACCAAGGGCATGAGATGGGACAGAAATATTGCCCCCCAGGACTAGGCCTGTGGCCCCCTGCCTCCCTTCTGACCCAGCTTCTGCCAGCCCCGAAAAAGGGTCAAGGATGGCGAGACAGCTCATCTCTGTGACTTGGGCAGATGTACCATGGGAAAGAGAAAGATGAACGGCAAGAAAGACCCAGGAGCTTCACTGGGGTAGGCGCCGCCGGTACAGTGAAGCCAGGAGCGCTAGAAGTGCCCCGGCCATGGCCACCCCAAGCCACGGAGCCCAGAGCATGGTCCTGACCACAGGCACTTCCTCCAACTTATCCTCTGCCTGGAATTCCAGGGTACTGTGTGTCCCGGGGCTGTCCCCCAGGATGGAGGTGCTGGGGTTCTCATGGATCCTAATGGGGTCTTCCGACACATACTCGTTCTCCTCCGGGGCATTGTCAGGCCCCATGCCCAGGGAGTTACTGTGGCTGATGGCGAGGTCCGCGGAGCAGCCTGAGAACGGCTGGCTGTCCATCCTAGATACCAGCCTGCCAGGCTTGCTCAGCTCCAGCTCTGAGCCCCAGCAGTCAGAGCTGCTGTCTGGACAAAGTGATGTGCCTCCAGTGGCAGTGCCTGTGGGCACTGGTGATGCTGGAGTCTCCTGGGGAAGAAAGGAGGAACTAGAGGGACTGAGGATGGTAGGGGACAAGCCAGGTTGGGTAGCCCCACTCCCAGGACAGGCCAAAAACTGACACCCCAACCCTTCAGTAGTCAGCCCACAGTGCCAAAAGGCAATCTTCTTTAGGGGATTCAACTCACTGATGGTGCAGGAAGACAGTCGGGGAAGAGGGGACTAAGGCCTTGCAGGAGCATCAGTGGTGAGACTTTCTCCAGGGCTGAGAGCTCTACTCACTGGCCTGCTTCTGAGCTCATTTCTACCCCAGGGAGCCCTTGGTCATGTGTGATCCACTCTATTTTGACTTTCTGCCTTGGGCTTGATGGCCATGGCATCCACAGGGTCAGAGGTTAGGCCATGGACTTGGTCCCTCCAGGCAGACAGCAGCAGGAGGGTTAGATAAGCAGGCTCAGAGGCAACTGTGGGGGCTACTGGGTCAGAGTAGATGGGCTGGGACTAGAGTTTGTAAAACCTTGGTCATGGTGGGGCAAGCCAGATATGCCAGTGGGGAAGAGCAAGGTGTTGAGGCAAACAGGAATGTTTCTTCATCTGCAAAATAACACTGCTGAGCTTAAAGGGGAGCTGTGAGCTCTAAATGGGTTAATGCCCATGACCAGCAAAATTGGTCTAGCAAGCCTGACCCTCCCTGAAGCATCCACACTTGACAGCTCTAATGATTGATTATTATTATTCTAAAGAACAGAGTGTTAGGTCTGGATGAGATTGGGTCTCAGTTCTCCCTATTCCCTCAAAAAGCAGCCCTGGATCAGGCTGGAGTCAGAAGGGAGACTGGAGAAGGGCTGGGGAGAGAGGCTCGGATCACTGCTAGGCAGGGTAAGAACTCACCTTCACGAGTCTATTGCTGCTCCTGGTGCTGAGCCTTGTGTTGGCAGGCACCTTACTGGGCACTGTGCTTGCCGGTATCCTGTGGTCAGGTATCCCACTAGTAGGCACTTTGGGTGGCACCATGCCAGAACGCACTGAGTTGATGGGCAATCTGGATGGTGCTAGACTGGTAGGCACTGCACCAGGGGACTTCAAGCTAGTGGGCAATTTGGAAGGCACTGAGCTGCCAAATGCTGAGTTGGTGGGCACCTTGGAGGGTACTGTGCTGGCAGTCATAGGGTTGTTGGGCACCCCTGCCCCACTGGAGCAGATGGTACCTTCAGCCTGGTCACCAGCACCTCCTGCAGAGGTCAAGCCAATGGAGGAGGAGGAGGTGCTGACAGATGGAGCTGACACTGAGGGTCCAGGCAAGCGGCTTGCCCTGGGGGTAGGACGGGAGACAGTTGGAGACACAGGCCCATGGAGTGACGTGGAACTGGAGACCACGCCTGCAGGTGGTGAAAGAAAATGAGAAACACAAACCCACAGGAGCGTTATCCTTGGATCAGAGGGATAGGGTCTCTCTGTCCCAACTCACACCATTCCTACTGCATCCAACCTCCCACCCATGAAGGAGTCTCCAGTCCCTTTAGTCACAGATTCCAGGGCTGAAGGCCTAATGGTTGCAGATAAATCCTTGATCCTGTCCCTCCTCAGTCCCTGACCTCTAACAGGGTTTAGGAGCCTGAAAATCATTACTAGTTTTCCTCTCTGTTTTTTCTTCTCCTGCCTGGGACACCCTCTTTTCTCTTGTCTGCCTCTTCCAACCTCTTCTTAGACTAGTAGAATCCTAGATGTTTCTCCCACTGCCATCTTTCTTCTCAGCAGGAACAATCATGGGCTAGGGCAAGGGGCAGCAGGATGGCTCAAGCAGAAGAGCTCACACCAGTCATATGGCACCAGAGGCCCAGTGAGCGCCCCACTTCTAGAAGGCCTAAGGGCTTGCAGGTGCAGGATGGCAGGTGCCATCCCTGGGAGGAGGGCCTGAACTGGGGGAAGCAGGAGGGAGTAGGTGGTGATGGTCCATAAAGGCAGTTATACAAGGATTTGCCACGGAACTCTGAAAACACACATGCCAGGCCCTACATCTGACAAAGGTCAGGAGTGATTCTAATGTCCACCCCACCCCTACCCCAAATCTACCACCATAACATCTCATGGAACCTGTGTCCATACTTATACTGAAATCAAAGCCCTTTGTCTCCCTGGTCCACAGCAGTATTTTCTGAAAAGGTGTTCCAGAGCAAGCTGTCATTGCCACGTGCAAAAGGATGCTTGGGATAAAGTGACAGGAGCATGGAACACTAAGGATGGCTTCTCTGAACCTTTAACTGCTAATGGGCCTTGTGGCTGTTCCATGAGCACTGGAGGCTATGGGCACCAATGTTATATGGAACTCAATTGAGGAAATATGCCATCCTGAAAGATCAGAGTAGACAGTATTATACTCCTGAGACGTCTGATGTGAGGGTCCAGGCCCTTGGCTGATGAAGAATATACTTCCTCTGGAGACTGAAATGTTTGAGTGATTTGCTGGGAGCTGGAGACCCCTTTGGGATGGGGCAGTGCTCCCTGCCAACAGCTGGCCCAGCCTTTTACTCACCTTACACTGTCCTCTAGGTCCTGGCGGATCTCTTATATGTCCCTGCGGCACAGTGTAAACATGGCCCTAATTCACTTCTTTTACCTGTATCCACACCCTCAGCAATGTGACCTTATCAGTCCTCTCATCGAGTGATGGAGTCTTATCTTTCTACTCCTCAATGCTGGGCTGGCCTGGTAATTTGCTTTCTCCCACAGAAAGAGGCAGGAGGAAAACTGCATTGGTTTTGAACCTATGACCCAGGAGTTCTCTCTCCCTCTCTGAGAACAGAGCTCGGCTCAGGTATATGAAATGGGCTTGTCCACTGGGAAACAAGAAGTTCATGGAAGAGAACCGAGGTGCTCCAGCCAAGAGCTGTAAACAACTTATATGTAAACTGATGTGTATACAAGAGGGAATTCAGCTCAGCTGAGCCAGCCCAAATTGCTGACCCACAAAATCATGAGCTAAATAAATAGTTGTTATTTTAAGCTACCAAATTCTGGGGCTGTCTGTTACAAAGCAGATACTAACCAATATGTCCTCTGAGGAAGGTTGTTCCCTGGGGAATACCATCTTGGCCTCCTGTCCAAGAAAGCCAGAGGGACAACCCTCTTACCCTCAGTGGCAGGTCAGAAAGGCGCTATAATTCCAGAGTCCATGCATACCTGCTGTGTGGGTACTGCCCAGTCCTGTGTCCCGCTCCTGATGTACACTGGAGGTCAGAGTGCTGAGGGCCACCGTGTCAGACAAGGGCTCCAGGACAGCCCCAGAATGGGAAGGTTGTGGGGCTTTCTCTGAATTCTGCAAGAGGGAATATAGGAATAAGGCAGTCGCTTCTTCCAGAAACTGGCAAAGGGCAACTTATGCTTGAGACAGCTCCTACAGGCCACAGTCCATGCCACAGAGCACAGGACCAAGGAAGCCTTTACCTCGGCTTTGGCCATTGCCAGAACTTCTGTCTACAGGTGACTGTGAACCTACTTCATAGAAAATCATCATATGGGGGAGTCCCTATTCATCTGTCTGACCCTAAAGAAAAGTCTCCCTCTCTGCAGACACTGCACAGACCCTTTCTTAGGCTTCAAGTTCATGATTTGGTGTCTCCTGGACACCTCACTGCCCATTCATCATATCCCAATAGAATCAGCCATATTTCCCCCAAACTTAGCTTTACTGGTGATGATTACAGCTCCAACCATCCATCCCTTACCCCACCATCTGCTGCTCCCTCACTCCCCCATCTGGTCATACCCTGATCCCTTGACTCAGCTCAACATCTCACATGGACCATTGCAAAGACCTCAAAATTGTGACTTCACAGCTGACTGATGACAGAGGGGTGAGGCTGCCATGGGGTAAAGACCTGGTCAATAGTCTGGCAGCTGGTCTTGGGCAGATCCACAATGCGAGAGCTTGGGATTCTGAGCAGAGATTAGACAGGATCTGTGGGGGGCTTCCAGAAGGCTGGGTGGGCAGAAGTGAGAGGACAGGAACACAAAAGCAGGAGGTGTGTGGACGCACCTCTCCCAGGGGCTCTGGTGGCTGGCTATCCTGGACAGGCAGAGGGTAACTTGGCTCGTACTCCGCATAGGCGTTGCCAGGGATGCTGGGGGCCACACCAGGTGTGGAGGGCCTTGGAGTCTCAGCAGGAACTGATGGTGGCTCCAGTGGGACTGGAGGGTGGTTTGGATCCCCTGAAGGATAAAGATAAAGTGACGTCAAGGAGGAACTGGAGACTCTCAGGGACAGGAGAGGCCTGGGTGCTCCCAGGTCATGGTTATCGGTTTCCCCACAGCATCCAAAGCTACCCTGAGGTGGAAGGCACCCCTCAGAGGAGACCTGTGTCACCAAGTGGGAGGCAGCTACTAGAGGCAGAGTGGAGATGGAGAGGACAAGGAGAGGTAGAGGCAGGGGAGGGGAGAGTGTGGGGGGACCTCAGAGGCCTCTCACCACCCTGCATCAGCAGTCACCAATTCTCTGTCCCCAGGCATTCTGGACACGGTGGCCTTCTTCTCCTCATCGTGGGTGGCTTTCACCACTAACTGACCCTTGACCTAAAGCTGCTTCCTTAACCCCTCCCTTTGCCCTCGCCAACCATGCCTGGTCCTACCATAACTGTCTGTATCTGGGGAAATCACAAATTGTTCATCTCCACAAGTGAAGAGACGAGTTAGGAAGGAAGGAAGGAAGTGGTGGGGGGAGGGAGAAAGAAAGGCCAACGTGGTGATATTTTTAAGGCTGCGAATCTGAGCAGTGTGTCAGGAATTGCCTCTATCTGAAATATAAACAGGTCTTGTGTGAGTTTTCCTCCTGCCTCAAGCCCTGGGACCCTGGCCTCAGCGGACCCCCTCTGAGTGCTTGGCTTGGCAGGGAGCATTGAGGGAGCACTGAGGGATAACGGGGCAACTGGGGGGTTGGAGGGAGCGGGTGGTTAGGAGGCTCTAGGGGAAGCCAGGGGGAGGGGAAGAGATGAGGGGAAAGGAAGGAAGAAGCCCATGAGGAAGAAATGAGAGACAGTCAAGGGGTGGGGAGAGAAGAGATGAACAGAGAGAGGGAAGGTGAACCAAGGAAGAGGAGACAGGAAAAAGTGAGAAAAGCGTGGGAGGCAAACATCATAGCCACAAAAATTAGAGGAGGCTCCATTTGCTGAGCACGTGGAAGGTGCCAGCTCCCGCTAAGTGCTCAACATGCCATCATCCTGCAGTTTTCACAGCAGCCCTACAAGCTAGATGTTGCCATTAGTCCCATTTTACAGAGAAGACTGAGGTTTAGGGAATGAAGGGGTTTGGTCAAAGGGTTGATAAAGATTAATAAGCAGGGATCTACACTCAGGTTTGCCCACTGCCCAGGAATGATGGGAGAGAGGGTGACAGAGGAAGACAGCAGGTATAGGGTAAGGGGAGAGGGAGTGCGAAGGCCAGGGGAATCAGAGAGGAGTTCCAGAAGAGGAGCTAGGGCAGGTGCTCACGTGGCAGGTTGCTCTGGTAGACACGGGACACTTCATCAGCGAGACCAGTGTGCTCACAGGCCCTCAGTGCCTCGATGAAGGACTGCACCCAGCCGTTCCTCCGCCGAAGACTGTTGAAGAGTTCCCAGAGGGTACCCTGGTTCCCCCAGCGCTCATAGCAGGCCCGAATCCGGTCCTGAAAGACACAGCCCCACCACCCAGACCAAGTCAGGTAGCCCTGACCCCCTCCCCACGGCTGCAAGTGGAGGTACCTGGAAAGCTACAAGATGGAGGCAGCCATCTGAAGCTGGGTCAGAGCCCAGGACAAGGCCAGAGTTCTGAGCCCAAGTTCCCAGACCCATGAAATAGGTCTTTACTATGTCCCAGGCTCTCTTCTCAGGGCTCTGTGTGAATTGTCTTATTTAATGCTATTATTATCCCTACTCTACTGATGAGGAAACTTGAGGCTTAGCACATACAAACAAGTGACCAGATAGCAGAAATCCACAGAAAACATTTACAGTAGAACTAAATGATAAGGTATTCCTGCAAACACCAAAATACAAGAGAGAGGAGCCAAACTATACCAGCTACAAACTCAAATACCACCAGTATCTGCATGCAGGAAGCAGAGGGGGGCCTCGGGGTTCAATGTGGAGACAGCCAAAACTGGGAGGGGCTGGGCTCACTTCACTAGGAGCCCACAGCAAGTGCCAAAGGGGCTAGCACCATCTGGCTCCCAAGAACTCTGAAAGCTGAGCCCTGGGACTCTGCTAGAATGGGTCCCATGACCAGGAGAAAGGAATTGAGACTAAGCAGGAATAAGGACAAGAGATGGAGAATGTTCCAGTGAAAGCGAGTAAGGGGCCTTGAGCCCAGAAATCTCAGTGCTATATTTTGGAGCACTATACCAAAACAACACAAGAACCTCAGTAGGATTGGAAAGGACACCCTGAACCACACGTCATTCTGAAGGTTAGAAAACTGTCAACAATGGGAAGCAGAATACAGACAACAGAGAAAGAAGGAGTTGATCCTGGCCTGGGAGAAGCTCTGAATTCCACAACCCTGCGCCCAGTCAGTGCCTGGCTGTCAGGCCCTGGCTTACCTGGTCACTTGTTGTGAGGCAGGACAGGTAAGGCAGAATATCCAGAACATGAATATTGCAAAAATTGCTGTGATGGTGGCGGATATAATGATAAGTTTTGTCTTCGGCAAACGTCATCACTGTCTGGCTTCTGAACTGGCAGAAGGCTCTGGCCCATGAAGGGTGGACGGACTGAGGAATAAAGGCTGGAAGAAAACACAGCATACATGGCAACTAAGTTGGGAGTCGGATTGAACAAAAGGCAATTCTTTCTTTTCCACCTCTTTGGAACGTTTGCTTTTTTCTTTAATCATCCTACTTTATTACTTATTTGGCTGCGTCAGGTTTTAGTAACAGCATGTGGGATCTTAGTTCCCTGAAAAGGGATAAAACCCACAAGCCCTGCATTGGAAGGCAGATTCTTAACCACTGGACCGCCAAGGAAGTCCTACTTTATTACTGTCTTAGTATCAGAGGCCGTCAATGAATTTGCTTAAAAACAAATTGATGGGGAGAAAAAAAATCAGATTCAGAAGACCTAGGGCCCAAGTCTGCCCTTCAGGTTGGTCAGTGTTTGGGAGGAGCTCTGGCTCCTGCCTCATCATCTCCAGGTCTGAATGTGCCCCCAGCTGCTGATAGCAACAGGCCACCGCCTAGAAGTGCTGCTTCTTTGGAGACTTCTGAGAGGGAAGGGGAAGACAGGGAGGAGGGGGAAGAAATAGGGGAGGAGAAAGAACAAGGCACCGAACATCATAATAGGATCTATCCTATTCTTACCATGAAGAAAATGCAGTACCAAGGAATTAAGGGGGCTTGCTAGTTTGTAGAAGAGCAAAGAACTGAGGTCTTTAGGATCTGGGATCAGGTTCTTCCCAGAACATAACTGCAGGCCCACCATTACATTAAAACTTGCCACATACATACTTTCAGTGTAGGAGGGTAAGTTCCATTCCTGGGTGTGACTCCAGGAAAGTTATCAGCCTTTCCCAGGTTTATCCTCACCCCTAAAATGGCTCAGAGAGGTTGTTCTGAAAATCCAGTAATTCAGTCTTATAAGCCTGAAATTTTTAAATACCCCAGGGACTTCCCTGGCAGTAAAGTGGTTAAGACTCCATGCCTCCATTGCAGGGGTCACTGGTGGGAACAAAGATTTCACATGCCACAAGGTGTGGCCAAAAAAAAAAACAACCACATAAAAGTAGTCCAAATACAATCAATTGCTGCCGGTTGCTTAGGTAGCACTTACCACAATTTTCAATTATAAATCTGTTTGTTTGCTTGCTCCCTTTTTAAAAAAAAATTTCTATTTTATTTACTTTTGCTGCACCAAGCGGCATGAGGGATCTTAGTTCCCCAACTAGGATCAAACCTGAGTCCCCTACAGTGGGAGCATGGAGTCTTAACCACTGGGCCACCAGGGAAGTGCCTGCTTGTTTCTTATTTGCCTTTCTCATGGGAGAGAGCTGCAGGGAATAAGACAGAAAAGATCTCTGCCATCATCCAATTTACATTCTACTGGAATGGGACAGACAAATCAGTAAAAATATACATAAATAACGATTTCCGATAGCATAAAGGTTATAGAGAAAATAAAGCAGATGAGACAGTCCCTGAAGATGGGGATGCTTCTTGAACTGGGGTGGCGAAGGAAGCATTTTTGAATTGACATTTGAGCTGAATGGTTCTTGGCTATAAGGAGATCAGTATTTTGGGCATAGGACACAGCAAGTTAGAAGTCCTAAGGTGGGAACAAGCTTGACATGTTTAAAGAATAGAAAGTAGACTGGAGTTGTCCAGGTTTAGAAAGCGAGGGGGAGGGGCAGATATCAAGGTCAAGAAGGTTGGGAAGGACTGCTAATGTAGGACATTATAGGAAAGGACCTTGTGTTTTATTTGGAGTCAAAGAGGGAGCCGTTGGAGGGTTCTAAGCAGGAAAAGGAGAGGATTTGATATATGTTAAAGACTTCTGTGGTGGTTGTAAGGACCCCGGACTGTGTGGGGTCATGCTGGAAGCAGGGAGACAAGTCAGGAGGTCACAGCAGGGAATACATGACGGGTATGGCCAGGATGATAACCATGGAGGTGGCGACAGGTGACTGGATTCTGATATTTTTGTGGATATGGGAGGTGAAGGAGAGAGAAGAATCAAAGATTACTCCTTAGGCACTGGGTGAATGGAGGGTGTCACTTAGCAAGCCAGAAAATCCAGGGGAGAAGTGGTGGTGCAGAGAAGACCCCAGAACTCCATTTTCAACAAGTGAAGCTTGAGATGCTAGCGGATATTCAAAGGGGTTTCCAGGGAGAGAAGTGGGTAGAAGACAGAGGGGGAGACTGGAGTCGAAACATGGGTGTCAAGCTTGGTGAGACCTCTAGGAGACAGTGTTGCAAAGCAGAGTGCCCAGAAGTTGCTGAGGCTCCCAGTTCCCTGCCACGTGGGAAATGGTGCAGCTGTCCTGCCTACCTGCTGCCCACTGGCCCCATGGTCGCATGCTGCATGACTTCCTTTGCCAGCCACAAGGGCTATACCTCTTGTGGCGCGAGAATCAAAAACAGAAGTCAAGAGGATCAGGGAGGTGGGGCAGGGGTCCTCTGAGCCTTCAAGAGAGGAACAGAGAACTCTGTGGTGGTGACCTGATCCCTCCTTCCCTCCCACAGGATCCAGGGAGGCCCCAGGAGAGAGTCAGGTGATACATTCTTTTGCATTCCAGCCTCAGCCCTCAAGGCATAGAGTTTGGGAAGTATGGATGTATGAAATAGTCTCAACCAAAAAGAAAGGAAGCTCATATTTGTTCACACTTACTGAAGGTCTACTATAGGCAAAGTGAAGTGAAAGTCACTCAGTCCTGTCCGACTTTTTGCGACCCCATGGACTGGAATTCTCCAGGCCAGAATACTGGGGTGGGTAGCCTTTCCCTTCTCCAGGGGATCTTCCCAACCCAGGTCTCCCGCACTGCAGGCAGATTCTTTACCAGCTGAGCTATCATGCCTCTACTATAGGCAGCTGCTACTGTTAAGTCACTTCAGTCGTCTACTATAGGCAGGCACACCCTAAATTTCTTTCATTTAATTCTTGCCATAATCCTAAGAGGAGAAGAGATGCCAAGTTATCCAGCTGACCAGTGGCCTAACAGAATTGGAACCCAGGACTTGCTGCCTCATTGCATGTCTCACCATACATCTTGAGGGCATAGAAACCTCTGTGGCAAGTGAGAATCATACAGCCCCCTGCCTTCAAGCCCTCGGAGGGGCGAAGGGCACTGCCTGGGTGAGGAGAGGTCATGAGTGAGAGTGTGCCTAAGACGCAATATTTAGTCCCTTCTCTTGTGAGAAATGGAAATCTTTCGGCCAGGTCTGAAGACGTTTTAGCCCTGCCCTCCACAGGAACCGGTTCTCAGGTCCTTCCAGATGTTTTTGAGTTCTTAAAATAAGGATGTCCGTTTTGTTTTTTCCAAAGTTTTCCTGGCACCTCCTTCCGGGTCTCAGAGAAGATTGTGCGCGGAGTGTTCTGGAGTGTTCCTGACGGTCGCCGCTAGGAGGGCACCAGAGGCTCTGAGAGCACCCCCATCCCGGAAGGGGCGAGGCCTCACAACCTCGGCTCGGAATCCAGAATTCCTGGGCCAGGGTCAGGTCCGCTGAGGGCCAGGAGGCTGTTCTGAGTAGGTGTCATCCCCGACTCATCGCCGAGAACAGCCAAGACCCGGGGAGGGCAGCGGTCGCGACCCCTAAAGGCGCTGCTGCTGAGACTGGCGCACCCGGGTTAGGCCTCGCCCTGGGGTCACCCTGGGCCTGCGGACGGCTGGAGAAGCTCAGTAACCAGAGCCCATCTCCTTCCGGCCCAACCTCCCCTCCAGCCCGGGCAGAGGCACGCGCCACCCACCTCCAGAGCCCCGGGTGCTTGATGCGGCACGCGGAGCTCTCGCTGCCGCGAACCTCGCTGTGCATTAGGACCCGCTGTTCCCAGCCCCACCGCGGACTCCGAGTCCCACTCGGCTTCTGCGCCACGGACCACCTCCCCGAAAGGCGTCCGTGTTCCCTGAGCCCAGAGGACCGAGCTCCTGAGTCGGCGATCTTACCTTGGATAGCCGCGACCGGCGGCGACCTGCCTTCAGCTGCGCCTGCAGGGAACCTTCCCTAGCTGGGAGGGAGGGGAGAGGCCGGGACCGCGCGGCCATTGGCCAGACGCGGGGGCGGGGCTTCGCGGCCAGCCGTGGAGGCTGGTCAGCGCGGGCCGGCACTTGACCTCCGTTGGCAAGCCTGGCGGCGCTGGACCTAGGATGAGAACTGATCCAGTTTTCTACTGCGTGATCGGAGGGACAGATGATCTTTCCTTCTTTCTCTCGAGCAGCTTCCAGGGGGAAGTCTAGGGTCTGGCTAGAAACCAAGTAGAAACCGCGGCGGGCTCAGTCCCAACGCTTCCTACGCGAATCTACCCTCCTCCGAGGAGTAATTTGAAGGTTGAGGGCTTTTATGTCGTTCGCTCCTGGACTCACAGGGCCTAGCATACAGTCAGTGCTCAGTAAATGTTGGGTGTCACAAGGGTTCGTGCGCCTAACCAAGTGACACCCTTTCTGGGCCTGAGAAGGCAGGATCGGGATGTGTAGGTGTATGCAGGCCAAGGGCGCCAAGGTTGGCTCGCTCTGCGCAGGGTGTGGGCCTTGAGTGCTGCGTGGGAAAGGCCTCTAGGCTCAAGGATTTAGGGCGGTACCTCCCGGCAGTGCTCGCCCTTCCTCTGCTGGGCCAAGGACAATTACTGAGTGCCCACTCTGTTCCAGGTACAGACTTAAAGTCTTATATCTTCAGTTCAGTTCAGTTCAGTCGCTCAGTCGTGTCCGACTCTTTGCGACCCCATGAATCGCAGCTCGCCAGGCCTCCCTGTCCATCACAAACTCCTGGAGTTTACTCAAACTCATGTCCATGGAGTCAGTGATGCCATCCAGCCATCTCATCCTCTGTCATCCCCTTCTCCTCCTGCCCCCAATCCCTCCCAGCATCAGGGTCTTTTCCAATGAGTCAACTCTTCGCATGAGGTGGCCAAAGTACTGGAGTTTCAACCTCAGCATCAGTCCTTCCAATGAACACCCAGGACTGATCTCCTTTAGGATGGACTGTTTGGATCTCCTTGCAGTCCAAGGGACTCT